AACACTTTTCACTTGGTTTGAGTAAAAGGCCAGGGACCCAGATACATAGTGACAGACAAGAAGATGGCAGAGGTGGAAGTCAGGATCTGACAGACTGGGATGGCACCAGCATCCCCGAATGCCGAGCATTCGTGTTCCTGACTCAGGGTCCTCCTGGGACGTCTGGTTCATGAAGGACGTCTGGGTGACATAACAGGTACAGTCTGGTGTCCATCAACTTTCTTTTAAAATATGTTTTTGGTGAAGGTCCAGTATTTTCACAAATGCCTGAGAGTCACAGTCATCCAAGAACCATGCATTGTGTTTGAATAGCACTTAGAATTTCCCTCCAGGGGCACATCGATTATGGCAATTAATTTTCCTAACAGTGTGAGGTAAGTAGGCAGGCATTCTTATCTCCATTTTCCACAGGCACAAAGAACCTAAAAAAAACTTGCCTACAATCAATTTGCATAGCTAGTAAATGACGAAAAAGGAATAGGGCATTGGAAAAGGTGTTTTTGACTCAGCCTCTTCTGGTTCAGTGAAAATAAGCAGCCACCTCTCTCATTCACGAGAATGCCTTAGCACTGGGTTTCTAACATGAGTTGGTGAAGTCTTCTTCACCCTATCTGTACATACATATCACCTATTATGCTAGTAACTTGGTATTTGTTTCTAACTCCACTTACATACGGAAATTCATTTGGACAGAAATGGTGGAGCGCATCTACTTGTGGAAAGCCATCAGTCGAAGGTAGCAAGATAACACCACGAAAACAAAACACAACCCTGAACTCTGTCTCCACGGACCACCACAAACTCAGGCTGTTCTTTCTTTGTTAAAGTGGGCAGAGCCACAGAAAGGTATGAAGGACCCACTGGTTCTAAACAGAGCTCTAACGTTCTGAACAGAGACTTTCTCCTTTGTGTCATCACAATGGGAAAAAGAATTGAAAAAGGAAAGCGTGCTTGGTGACTCAGAATGACTTCACATTGTGCCTGCGGAACTGCTCAGAAGTCTCGAGCCACAGATGCTGTACCTGCAGGACCGTGCGTTGGGACCTCATGGCAGAGCCGCCGTGTCCTGAAACCAGGACACTCTCTCCTAAGTTGGCATTTGATACAGAAGCGTGGCGCGGAGATGTTTCCTGTGTGGCATCCTGGAAAGTCAAATTCTAGCCTGAGACTAGAAAAAAACAATCAAACAAAAAAACAAGGAAAGCAAACGCATTCCATAAACACAGCGGGCTTCTTCCCAGGTTTGGGCTGGACAGGGTGTGCGGGGCATCTGTGCATGAGCGCAGCCACCAAGCGTGCCCTCGCTCTGCTTGGGTAGAGAGCAAGCAAAAGAAAGAGGCTCATGGAAGAAAACAAGGATCAAGACAAAAGCCCAGAAAGTCTTCCAGTCTTTGGTGAATTCTGGGGGTGCCGATAGAAAGTTGCAGTTGGGGGAGGGTACCGAAGATTGAAATGCACCTGCAACATAAAAAAAAAATAGAAGAAATATCCATGATTCAACTGCATTATACAACTCTAACCATGCTGCAGAGGTTTGAACTTGACATTGTAAACAGCAGCATCCACTGCTTCCCTGGGAAGCCTCCTGCTTCCCCAGATCCTGACCTCCAGCCCTGGGAAGAGTCATGCGGTGTCTGGAGTTTGTCTCTGGAGAAGAGGAATGGATGCAGAACCTCACTTGGAGGAGACAGCGAGCCTTCTTCTATCGTGATGGTCCAGTGACTTGGGCTGACAGGGCTGATGGGACTCTTTGTTGCTGCTGCTGCTCATTTGCCAGGGACCTGCCTCTGGAGAGTCCTGGAGGAAAAGATCTCACAGTCTAAAGTCAATGTATCTGTTCCTCAGAAACTTCTTTGCGGTGTGTGTGAATGAAGCCTGTCCTCCAGTGTTTGCAGTAGGCTGCTGGTTCTTCAGGAGCTGTGTGGCACAGAGACAGACAGAGTGAGAAAGAGAAAGATAGGGAACCCAGCCCCACAGTGGCTTTTCTTGGATTTTGGAGGTGACTCAAAGGCTGGATGGCTAGTAGGCCTGAACACTTTTAAGTCTAAGCCTGGCTTATTTTGAGAAACATTCTCTTTTATTCTACACGTGGCACATAAGAAAGCCAGAATAGCACAGATGCACCAAAATGCCCAGAGCACTTCTGAATCTCATTTTCTTTCCCAATGTTTAGCAATAAGGCTAGCACAGCTTGTATGCATTCTCCAGGCATTTCTTTCTGCATTTAAATCCATAAATATAGGCTGGGGTGTGGTTCAGTGGTAGAATGCCTGCCTTGCCAGCACAAGGCTCTGAGTTCAAACCTCAGCATTGCCAAAAAATGTAGAGATAAATATCCATAAATATGCACTTGGAAATTGTACACTTATTCACTCATTCTCTCTCTCTTTCTCTCTCTCTCTCTCTCTCTCTCTCTCTCTCTCTCTCCCCTCTCTCTCTCTCTCTCTCTCTCTCTCTCTCTCATACTGGCATTTGAATTCATTGCCTTGTGCTTGTTGGACAGGCTGTCTTCCCACCTGAGCCACACCTGTAGACGGAGACTGTTGGGCTCAGAACACAACTCCTGATTCAACACAGCACCCTATCCAAAGCTATTGGACATTTTGGCTCAGTGATTCCCAGCCTTTATTTTTTAATGACAGGCTTCACAACCTTTCTAGATGGCAATAGTTTGCTTCAAACTGCATTTGGGGATGAAACTCAGAAAAGTCTCACATTCCTGGCTTCTGTCCCATCTCCAAGCTTGCTGTCCTTCCTAGTCAGATTTGCCTGGCCCTCTGCAGAAGTTCTCACTGCCTTCTAGGTTGTTAGGACATAGCCTTGGGTTGGTACATCTCCTGGGCGGTAACCCTACTCCCCTCCTTGGCACTGGCTTGGGCACACCAAACTGGGATGAGTTGTTTGCTGATGTAAATGAAAACTGACCACTGTGCTCACAGCGAGCGTCCATATCCTCTTCCCCTGGGACTTGGGAGGGAGACAACTTAGCAGGGTGGACGGTGAGGACTCTGCTTGGCACCAGGATGTGAGTCCGTAGAGTGGAAGCTGAAAAGTGCAGATTCCTAGGGCTCACCTCTGATTTTAGTGAGCTGGGATCTTTCGAGGAGGAACTTGGATCCTCTCCTGGTGATACTGATCATGGGAATGATCACAGGCTTGGTTCATGCATCTTCAGGGGTATCAAAGGGACAGCCACTAAACTGTCTGTGTGTGATGTGCTCCTCCACTTAGTATTTACACTGGCTTTATGGAATCAGTCTCCACTTCTCAGCCGAGGAAACCAAAATTTGGGTTAAATAATTGGCTAAAGATGAGTAAGTCCTAAAAGATGGAGTATCTGGCCCAGGCAACCTCTTACCAAACTTTAGCATTAACTATATACACTTATGTGCACACACACACACACATTTTTTTTCCTGGCAACACTGGAGTTGGAACTCAGGGCCTTGTGCTTACTAGCCATGCCTACATCATGAATTCTTTTAAAGGATGAAGTCAGGTGTGTTGAACATCAATCCCCTGTCTTCCTCTTCATGGAACAGTATCATCAAATATTAATCAGTTTGATGATGCTAATATCACTATCATCCATGCAAGAAACCCTGGGATCCTTTGATGTTTCACTCTCCTTCCTCCTTCCCTCCCTTCTGTGAACACAGCTGCTTGGTTTTCCCCTTGGGTCATTTCCTGTCAGGACATCAGCTGCTCCATTCACCTGCTACTGGTTGTTCCTGGGTGTGGCTTGTCCAACAGGAAGTTGGTCTGTGACATCTGCTGCCCTCTTGGTTGCCAAGGCAGGGCTGGCTGATCTGGGAGGATGTGGGATGCCTGCTGCTTCTCTCATCCACCCAGGTAACCCTCTTTGGTCAACCAAGCCCCAAAAGGGATTCTCTCTTTCAGTTTGGTGAGCACATTGCTTGGGTCAGGGGCATTGGAAATGCTGTGCTGAAGAACTACTCAGCATTCTTCTCTTGCCTGATTTACACAGCAAGATGGAGATGGATGTGGGCTTGACATTTCCGGGGCTGGGTTGTCATCATGTCACCTTGTCCTCTGTCAAAGTGTCATTGATTCTAGCAGATGGAGCTCATCTTAGCTAATTAGAGAGTCGGAAGCAATGTACCCAAGTCTAGAGAGGAATATCAATAGTATCCATCTCTTTAGGAAAGATCATGGTGATACCAAAAGCATGTGGTGACTTTTCTGTCCTTAGACTAAGAACTGTTAGGCTACTTTAATGCAAAGTCACGCGGGAAATCATTCTGCAGATACAGGGTAGGACAAAGAACAACTTTAACCATCTTTACTCTCCTGTCTTACCCACCCTCTGGCAGTTAAATGGAACTATGTGACCAGTGTTAGTCATTTAATTTCATGCTTAAGTGACATTTGAGACTTCAGCCCATCTGATATTATCTGATCTTCCATTTTCCAGAATTAGCCTGAAGATACTTCCCATTCTAGATCAGAGGCTGGCAAATTACCACCTGCAGACAGATACCCTTTTGTAAATAAAGTTTTATTGGAACACTAGAAACAGACATCTAGGCACAGACATTTATTGGGGACTTACTAATAGAAGTATCCTCTTAAGTGGCAGCAACATCAGTGCAGTGGATTCCCCACAATTTGGATCAGAAAGAGGGATATATTTATGGATTAGGATATAAGTACACTTTGTCTGCCATGTACCTGATTTAACTTAAGATAACATCCAAGAGTCAGGTGAACTCTGGACCAGCATCTCACTGTGAAGCCTCCAAATAGTACTTGTTTTTTTTTTTTTTTTTCTTTCTATTTGTAGTTTGCTGAGAAACGCCCTGAGAAAAGCCAACGAGGGTTACTCTGGGCAAAATCATAGTGGTTACAACTCAAGACGTTTGCGCTCACGAGTTGAGCCCACGCCCCTGTTCTGCCTAGAACAGCTGCAGGCTTGGTGGTGCGTTGGCCAGCCTGGGATCCTGTGGAGGGAGAATGTCCACCCGCCTACGTGGCCCACCGCCGTGTGAGGAAGACACGCTGCCCCTTTGGTTTTAGTGTTGGCGACTTACTTCCTTGTGAAGTGCACTACGCAGGAGATGGTGATGATGAGGAGGCCGATGATGATGGAAGCGACGGCCACCCACTTGGCGTTCCGCCCCAGCCGCCTGGCTCCTTCGTAATCCCCATCGTTGTAGCTGTTCAGAGACTGGAGGGGGCACAAAGAAAGAGCTGGTGACCACAGACGATGCATAAGGATAGGGGTGAGGAATTTGGCTGTCCCGACAGAATGGCTCCAAGAGGACTCAGGCAACTGCTCACCCCAGTGCCAGGATACTGGGTAAGCGCCATGGGTATTCTTACCTCTGAGAGGCTGTCCCTTAAGTGCTAGGCTGACCCTGCCTTCTGTGTATTTCCTGATTCTTTTTACCTTATCATTTATCATAGCATATTAAGAAGGGTACAGTGCTTAGTAGTGCTTGTCTGTGTTGCGAAGGGCAGTCAATAGATGATGCTCAAAACCCATTTGCAGAATGAAAGGATTTGTCTTTTCCTGTAGAACAAGCTGTGCAGGCTTTGCCAGCTATAACCCATGAGTCCAGTTCAGCCCTTACCTTTTTATTTCTGTGGCTTAAACTCAGGGCTAGGTGCTATCCCTAAGCTTTTGTGCTCAAGGCAAGCGTTCTACCACTTAAGCCATAGCTCCGCTTCCAACATTGTTTTTGATGGTTAACTGGAGATAAAAGAGTCTCACAGACTTACTTTCCTGCCCAGGCTGGCTTCAAACCATGATCCCCAGATCTCAGCCTCCTGAGTAGCTACAATTACAGGTCTGAGCCACTGGTGTCTGGCTTTACCTGCTTTCGTAAAGTCCCCTTGGAACATAGCCACAGTGGTTAGTTTACTATTGACTATGGCTACTTTCATGCTATAGTGACAGAGTGAAGGGAGTTGGGGCAGTGTTTACAGTGTACAGCTTGCCTGGCTCTTGCCCAAGCCCAGGCTGTCATCTGGTGCCCACAGATACGGCTTTCTCAGTTGTCAACATGTGGCGCTGGTGAATAACAGCAGGTACCCCGGAGCTCCTCTTCCCTCCTCCATCTCCAGCCATCCTGGCTCTCCCTCTCTCTCCCCTCACACTTCTCTATTACTCGACTCAGCAGAGTGTCCTTCCTGATTCTGCATCCAGGCCAAACTCGTCAAGTATTTCCATGTTGCCTTTGTTGCTGGTACTTTGAGTCATGTCTGGCACATTGCAGGAACTCAGGAGGTATGTGTAGACTGAATGGGTGGATGACCGTGTCTGGTTCCCTATGAAACATGGGTTTGCTGAGGGCTTCTTGTAGCTCTCCAAGCTGGTATAGCAGCATCAAGTGTTCACAGAATTCCTGCTGCTGAGGGGCAGGCCAGGAGCTGCCAGTTTCCCTTATAGTAGTAAGTCCTCTCTGTAATACACCCCTCGCATCCCCTCCCCAAATTGTACTGCCGCCCAGTGTGCAGAGACACTGCGCTAGTGATGAGAATTGTGGATTTCATCGGGAGCCTCTGTTCTTGACTCTGATGTCATTTCAGTAATAACTGTCCCCAGACTATTAGGAAGATAGACTTCAAGCCAGAGAAACAGCCTGTCTGTTTCTTCAAGCCAGAGCCGTCTGCTTCTGGAACCCTTTCTTAATTCTTGGAGCTGGGCTGCCTTTGTCGGCAATAGTCTTGAGACTCAGCAGCCAGGGGGATGTGATTTTTAGGGGTGTTGTGTACAGATGAGATTCAAGACTTATAACAAGGTGAGATCTAGAATTCTGAGGCCCCGATCTTGGAGTTCTCAACCCTGGAACCCATTAGAACTATCTGGGTAGCTAAAAACATTGAGATATCTGCCCCCCACTCCTCCCTGGAGAGATTTTGATTTGGCTGGTGTATGGACGAGGTACCTTCTGTGTGTGTGTGTGTGTGTGTGTGTGTGTGTGTGTGTGTGTGTTGGCAGTTTTATTGTGGTGATGGATTACATATAAAAACTAATCACTTTCACCATTTGGAGTGTACAGTTCAGTGGCACTAAGAACATTGACATTATCATTGTGTGGCCATCACCACCATCACTGTCCAGAACATTTGCATGACAATTCCCTGGTATGAAAATGCCTTTCTCTTCTCAAGCACTCGGACCTCCAGCCTGCCAGCAAGTGCTCTACCATTGAGCTACAGGCTCCAACCCTGACTGCCATTTCTTTTCTTCTCTAATCGGGATGTCACACCACCAAGGGAATTTGGCAGATGGGACAGACTAAAGTGGTAGACATGGGTTTTAGAGAAAAATGCATGTCGTATAAATCTGTTTTTTAAATTTTTCCCCCTGAAGGGCTTAGCATGTAAGCTATCCCATCTGGCATGGGGAGAATTATGCTGGCTTTAGATATTCAAAGTTGTTGTGATCTTATTTATTTTTTAAAAAAATACTCATACAATTTGTGAACATGAAAAGCCTTTTTTAGTGCTGTAGAGACATATAGAGTAAATAGGAAAGCTCTTTCCTTAATCTTATTACCCAGTTTTAGCACTTCAGTGCATTTGCATCTACCACGCTTTCCTCTATGAATCCCAAGCAAAGACACCTTCCCCGGTAATGACCGAGCACACACATCGTGGTTAGGAGAAAGAAACCATTTGCACCTGAGATACATCAAGAATAATGGAGTCAGCCTGTCTAATCCATATCCCTTATGCATTAAAACCTATGTACTTCCTACAAATCTTCACAAAGGCAGCGTCATCCCTGCTTGGGCGACGCTGAAGTTTCATGGTAGGCTGCTTCCTTTGGGATGCAGTAAACTCTTGAGAAAGATCCTGCTTTGTGTCTTAGCCATAAGCAGACCAATGTAAAACTTGGTAACACTGGCAAATTTGCATTTTCTTTTCTTTAAATACTCACGTTGTGCTTTTCATTTAGCTAGCTGGCCCCTTTGAAGTTACCTTACAAGTAAAACCTTTCCTTTCCTTTTCTAAACATTTTGATCTCTGTTATCATGTGGATCTGGAATGGTCCCCAGAGGCCCATGTTTTAAATGCCTGGTCCACATCCCTTGGCATTATTGGATGGTGCTGGAGCCTTTGAGAGGTGGTATCTTAATGGGCACAAAGATGGGGACAACAGAGAGGGTGGCAGACACGGAGGATACGTTTGAGGCCAGTCCAGGCAAAGATTAGTGACCAATAAAATAAAAGGCTGGGCACTGTGGTGTGAGCCACATGGGCTACATAAACAGGAAGTTCGTGGTCCGCACTGGGCATGAAAGTGGAACTCTGTTTGAAAAACAGTGAAATTGGAAAGGGCTGGGGGGGGGGGGGGCGTGCAGGATCAAGTGACAGCTGTCTGTCTAGTTAGCACAAGGCCTTTAGTTCAAACCCAAGTACTGCTAAAACAAACAGAGATGGGTCCTAGCGTGAGGAAGTCAGGCCGCCAGAGGTGTGTCCGCGCAGGGGACTCTGCTCTTGGCCTCACTTTTACTCACGCGCCCCTGCCCCCCACTTCTGCAAGTGGAGTGCCAGCACTCCCACATGGCATGCTGTGGTGCTGCCTCGCCACACATCCTGACCACCACGGCTGGAACCCTCCGCCAGCGCGAGCTGGAACAAGCCTCTCCTCTTTTTAAGTCAACGGTCTTTGCTGAGAAACCTTGACCATCATGGAGACACAGAAGTACCCGGTTATGTATATAGACTACAACTGGATTCATATGTTCTCCATTACCACCAAGACATCCCTCCTCCAAAGTTCCTTCTGAGTCACCCTTCTTCCACATCACTGTCCTTTAACTGAAATGGTGGCCCTTGGATCTGGCCTGGAGTTTCTTTCTGACCTCATAGCTTCATAAAACACTCGTATTCCAAGACACCCAACAGCCAGTTGGATGTTAAAGAGAAGGGCCTTTCCTTTCTTCCCAGTTTCTGTTTTCCTCTGCGATGGAAATGAACCTTTACCAGAATACACAGCAAATGAGTTCCCATCGCACATTTGTTGTGAGGTACCCAGGATTCACCTGCAATGCCTTTTCCCTTTGCTGTAACCCTGGGCTCCTGTTGGCAACATGGATCTGTTAGTACAAACCCTCTAAGAGCGTCAGGTCTTCAGCCAGTAAAGGTCACATTCCAACAGGAAAGTGGGCCAGTGCCCTCTCCTATAGAAATCTCATGACGCCATGGCCCCTGCATCCCTTTCAGCTTATTTATACACCCTTCCCTGGATGGACACACGATACTCAATACCCACAGGAGGAAAGTTGTTCAGCAGCCAGGTGTGAAGCTGCAGTTTTCTGACCTGAGCCCCAAGAAGGCTGCAGCAGGAAGCAGTGAGACAGTCCTGTGGCTCATTTCCTGCTGGTGGGTCCAGCAAGCTCTTGGAACCCACAGCCCAAAGAGAGAGACACCACAGTAATCCTGTACGTTCTGATAACTGGATCTGAAAGCCCAGAGGGTGGATCCAAGATCATAGCCACTGGTGACACGTTACACCGAATGGCAAAGATACACGGCTGTCCTGAGCCAGGAAAATGTGGAAAGTACTCTGCCTCTGCTCTTTAGCACAGAGCTCTTGCTACATTCCCACATGATACCCTGGGGGCCGGGGGTGGGGGGTGGGGGGGGCAGTGTGACCAGAGATTGCTGCTAGTGTGGGGCAGAGGGGGACTCCCCGGAGCTCTGCAGTGTGTACACTGGGAGCTGGGAGCTTCTAACCCTGGATATGCCTTTGAATCACTTGGGGGTAGGGTTTTAAAATCTTCCTATGCCCAAGACCCATACCAGAACAAGTTAATCAGGGTCTTTGTGGGCAGGATCCAGTTCTGGTTTGCAAGTTTCTCAGGTGAGTTTGAGGAGTGGCTGGGTTTAGAACTGCTGTCTTAGATGGCCAAGCATTTGTTCATTCATTCACTTGTTCTTTCATCCACACCTTCATTCATCCAGACACCCATTCATTAATTTGTATACATTCATCGATCCACTCGTCCATTTACTCCCTTGTTCATAATAAATTAACTCAGTCATTATTTACTGCCATCTATGTGCCAGACACTGCTCTCTGCCCTCATGGAGCTCGAATTTTGTTAAAGATTGAAAATAAAGAAGTAAACATGCACATAAAAAGATGATTTCAGAATATTATTAAGACAAGGAAAATGGAAAGACCTCAGAAGGAGCGAGGCCTGAACAGGG